CTTGCTCAAGATCACACAATTAGCAGAGCCATAGAGTATTCTGGCCAAAATAGTATTCAAGATGGTTTTCCATGCTATATTTGTAAACATGTTGCTTGAGTCTGAGTTGGATGTTAATGTAGTTGGGTAAGTTTGCTGCTCTATGCTTAGATGAGAGAAACCTTTAGGGGGGTGCCTTGGAACTCTGCCCTTGGCCCTAAATTGTTTATTTTATAAGGTAATAAAGACATGGAAGACATGCTTATAGAATTGTCAGATTGTATAATACAGGACAAATTAACTAAAATTAAAGTGAAATTAACAAGCATGAGTTTAAATCTTCGCATTTAGTTTCAAAAAGTTAAGTGTGCAATATAGAAATGGAGCATTACTGACTTAGATGCCATTTATAAGAGGAGTATCAACCCAAAAGTTTAATAGGAGCTAGTTAGCCTACACTACTACTATACTCACTTCTATAGGCCATGTTTTTAACTGCCATATTGATTTAATAACAACAGCATGCATCCAGATAAATGTGAAAACAATGTCATGTGACAAATACAACCTTAACAAAACCAACAGAATGATGGTCTTCAAATATTTGGATAGGTGTTCAGAAAATAACTGGTTTTACTCAGTATCATTACAGAGGATAGAAGTAAAATAAAGATAATAGCATTACTTACCTCAGGATGTGAGGCCTGAGCTACTGCATGTGAAGTGCCCACAATGCCTGGCTTACAGTGAGTGCTTGGTAAGTTTTAGCAATTTTCATAGGAATCAGAGAAGGAATTAACAACTAAGCTTCTAATTTTATGATAAACACTGCAGTTTTTTTGAGATAAAAGACTTCTTTTAATTCTTGCAACAACATTATGAGATTTGTTCAGCTCTATTTTATAGAAAAGGAACCAGAGTTTCAGAGATGTTGCTGCTTGCCACAACTACACACTTAATAAGGAATGGAACTGGGACTCAAACAAGTTTCCCTGACTCCAAAGCCCATGTTCTTTCTACTATTTCATCCAACCTCCAACATCCATCCCATCAATAGAAAACATTGTCTCCTGAGGCTATGAGCTTCTTAACATACCTGACTTGGGTAGTTTCAAAAAGTTGAACTGTCATAAAAAAAAATGCAGTAAAATACCTATGGATAAGACTGCATGCAGGTTAAATACTTCAAAATATAAGATACTGCTGGGACATATATTTTTGATATATGTCTACCCACTAACTTTTCAGTTTAGTACACCAATATTTAGTAAGATTGTTAATATTAGCCAAATAACAATTAATTGTCTAATAATTCAATCAACTAATTTATCAGAACTATTGATAATACACTATATAAATATCACACTTTTGTATAAAACACATTTTTTAAAGTTTCAGCATGAACACAAATAGAAGACACTAAGTGAGCTGTCATATTAGCTCTGCCCACTCTTCCCATCTGTTTTCCCTCTCCTCCTTTTATGGAACTCTGATTTATCCACTAAGATATAACAAGAAGTAAGGTGCAAAATATTAAGACTAAATATCAAAGCATCTAATAACTCTTTCTCTTTATATATTAATTCGAAACTGAGACAATACTACATCTTACTAACTTATAAAATATATATGAGCTATGAGTTGGCAAGCATTTCTAATACGTTTACTTGGAACATCTCAAATATTCTTTTGGGAGTTACCTGTCACAGATACCATTCAAATGAGCTTATATAATCTGTCGCCATTGTTGAATAGAATCAAAAGATCGGCTATTAAGGGAATCTTGAGCCCAACCTGCCCTATTATTACAGCCAAGGTAAAACAAAGACCCTGGAGGTTAGGCGACTTAATTGAGGGCTACTTTGTGTTAACATCACAAGTTGATCTACTTTTCTCTCACCCTTCCACATCTTCCTGCTATGCATACATTATCTCACATCTTAGCAAACCCTCTAATCAGAAGTTCTAATAGCAGCATTTTCATTCAACAAATATTTACTGATTGCCTATTTGCCAGACTGTATAAGAGACACTGGGATTATACAGCAGTGACCAAAACAAATACTGCTCTCTAAGCTTACAGTGTGATGTGGGACACACACATTAAACAAATTCACACAGTTCGCAAGGTAATTACAAAATATGAAAAGTGGTATCAGAGAGTATGTTATGGGGACCTTATTTCAGCTGGGGTCTCAGGCAAGGTGCCTTTAAGCAAGTGGTATTTAAGCTAAGACCTAAGAGAGTAAGTAGGAGTCAAGGAAACAGACAAGAAGAGAGAATTTCAGGAAGACAAAACAAATTCAGTTATTAAATACTTCAAAAGGGAACTTATTATTTAGTATAGCGAGTGTCCTTTTTGTACTCAATAAAGGATAAAGTGAAGAGGTAAAATGCTTTTCCTATTTAGAACAGCATGATATTTACCATGACTCCCTACCAGTAATGGGGTCTCCTTGGTTCAATTTAGTTTTGTATGCTAGGAATGCTAATAAATGGAGGGTCTTTTTTTTTTGGTCTTGTTCAGACGTACATGTATTCTGTTGGCCTGTAAAAAAGCATGTGGCCTTTTTCAATGCAATATTAACCAGTGTCCTAAGGTCATTGTCCATGTTTAACTTGATACAGGCTTGAAATTGCTTAATAATCCTAGTGTTGCTTTTATATTGTATATTGTATAAAAAATTCAAATAACTTTGTTGTTGGTTTCTAAAAATCACAGTTTGTAGCAATCTTGCATCTGCTCATGTATCTTTTAAAACATAGCTATTACTTTAGATATATTTCATCCTAACAGCTCCATATTCAACTAAATTGTTGCTGGTATAATTCTGCTCATCTATCTGCACAGTGGTATTTGAATCTCAGTCCTTCCACTCTGGGAGAGAGAGCACACCATGTCTGCTCTCTGTTCAGGCTCTTGTAAGTTTATCCCATAATAAGATTATAGATTGCCAGTCTGGCAATGCTGCATGAATCTATGCTAGGCTAGATGTATCTTCCTCACTCTTTTTGCACCAGTGGTATCTGAGAGATCTGACTGGCTAATAGCCAATGAGCCATTTCTGCACCATAAACTAACCACACAAATGGAGAAACGTTTTTCTATACTGAAATTAAAACATCTTCTAAGTACAACATCTCCAGTTTTTTCACTAACAAAATAATTGCTCCAAAGAGGCCATTATACAAGTTCAATATGAATTATGTATTTGGAGAGACTCAAAGTACTAAAGATAGTAACTCAGCATTAAAGACAGTGAATCACAAGCATGATTAGTATTAAATTAAAATTTTTTACTAGCAAAAAATTTCCCCATCTATCAAATTGTTAGTTTCTTTTAAAATATGAGCAACTAACTCCAATGTTAATATTTTCATCGTTTACAGTGTCTTAAAAAAATGAGAAATGTCCCTTAAGAAATGTGCATTTAAATGACCACCTTTTCCTACATAAGGCTTATTCAGTGCTTATGTAATTTAAAAAGTTTAATATCCAAAATCTTAAGTTTTTTTCTGCATGTGGCAGTGTTTAAATCAAAAACAATCCACTAAAAGAAATTTCTAAAGCATCCGATGAAATATTTTATATCTCAAAAGCCTCACTACCATTTGAGATGGTTAAAAAAAAGTTTCAAGATATGAACTGGTCAACATTTTGGAATCTGAGTCATCCTAAAAAGTGAAATGTTATATAACAAACTATAGAACCTAGGATGGAACCTGGCTTGTGAAACACACCCATCGGATCAGGCCTACTACATCAATATTACACACTGAAGCAAAACTTGTAACATAAAGGCTTCTGTGACGTTTTAAATACCTATATTAAAACTTGTAACTTCTTTTTGGCTGAATTTCCATGCTTGCTTTCAATCCAGACCCCAACAGGGGAGGAGGAAAAGTTTTTTTTGTAAAATAACGCTGGCTAGACCTTGGTGGGGGAACTCAACAACAAATTCATAGGGCTTCCCAGCCCTCCGTGCATTAGAAGTTGAAAACCAGATGTGGTCTCAGCAAAATCATAGTCTTTAAAGACGTTAAGAAGTGCAGCATTAAGTACAAAGCAGAAACAGTGTGAGAGTAATACAATAACATTTTCCAGGGTACACATTAAGGCATTTTAAAAGTTTTTGTGGATATAGCTCATCAAGACTGTGTCGTACAATATACTAGTTGAGGGTATGACTATTCTTCCTAATCAAAGATGACACCGATAGTCTTATTTCCTGTGGGGATGGGTGTGGTTGAATAGTTACGTCCAAGCCATCAATCGGTGCATGGTAAGTCCGCAGGTCTTACACATGCTTGTGGGTTAATTTACATCGGTGCCTGCGGATGGCAGGCCTATGTTCTGACTGCGACGATTTCAAATAAAATATCCAACAGGCAATTGAATAGTATGTGCTTATTTTTATTGCTCCAAGAAACACTCTTTGGTGTTTCTCTTAAGGAAAACCTCCTGCGAATGAAAACAACAGGGTGCAATGTTGCAACCTGCAAAACAGTGGTCCGGCAACCCTGGGGTGGGGGCTTACCTTCTCTAAGTACCATATACTCACTCCTCTGAGACGGGTACAATACCAAGTGATAGGAAAAAAAACCCGGCTTATCCAAAATTCAGCCGCGTGAGCACCGCCTGTTGTCGTCGAGAGCTAGTTTGGGGCACCGCAAACAGACCGCGACCGGAGGGCCGAGGCGGGGGTCGCCCACACAGCGCGAATCCAAGTTGGCCTCCGCGCCCACGCCGGAACTGGCCCCATCTACTGCCTCCCCGGCGTCCCGGCCCGCCGCGGCGCCCACCGCCGCTCCCGCCGCCGCGCGCCCGGCCAACTTCCCACCCAGCCCTGGCGGTCGCAGCCCAGCCCCGATCGGAGTCCGGGTCCCGCTGCCGCGTGCGGGCGGGTGGGGGAGGGGCCGTCGCCTCCGCCTCACCCGACGTGCCGCGAGAACAAAGCGACGGCCGCGGCGACGCTAACTTTTTCGGTGTCTGTTCTGCGCCTCCTGAGGCGACTACTTACAGAGGAGAGGTCCGCTGGTCGTGAGAAAGTCCGCGCCAGCCAGCGTCTGAGTCCAGGACGCAGCGCCAGCGAGGCTTCACGCACTTCGCCGGATCCCGCCCGCCGCTGGCGCCCCTTCCTCCCTCTCTCCCTCCTCCAGGTCCCGTCCTGAGGCCCGGGGGCGGGGGGCCGGGGCGTGCGGGGCGGGGGTGCGCGGCCTGCGCGGGGCCTGCCGGGAGCTGTAGTTTCCGCGCGGGCCCGACCCGGTGGTAGCGGCGCTGGGATGTCCTCACCGGTTTTTGGTTGAGCAGAGGCAGCATGAGCTCTGGGGCTCTCGGGCTCTCTCTGCAGCCTCCGAGGCCCCGGCGTGAGCGCGGGAGAGCGGCGTGTAACAGTGTACTAGCTAGTTACTCGCAGTACTTGATACCCATCGTTGCTACTTAACTGCCTTTTTCTCTTTGTCCACTCTGAAGGAGGCGCTGGTAGCAAGGAAGCAAGAGGTGACAGCTTGAACCGGGGACTTGTAAAGGACCCACAGCAGAGAGCGGTTTTCACCCTGAGGTATCTTCTACCTGCTCCCCACATTTTCCTCCTTCGCGCGTGCCCTCCAGGTGGCTCTGGGGCACCGCAGCCGCGGGCTTTCCACACCTAGGCAGATATCTCCAAAGCCTTTCCTTAAAGCTGAGCAAACTAAAGTGGCTACTTGCAATGCGTTTTGTGTTTCCTATTTGTCCCTCATTAAAGTCGGGGGTGTCCCCTACCATCAAAGTGAAATGTAGGCAAGAATCACGTACCCTAGACTTCCACATGCACGGAAAAGAGGGTAACAGTGCCGAGGGAGTGGTCGGGGGTGGGAGTCGGAATGAGGATCTCGAGAGAACACACATTATGTGTTAAATTATAAATGTTTTGTGTCAGAGAAACGTCTGAGCAGCAGACTGCTCAGCCACTGTCCAGGAGCGACCTAGTTCTCCTTACGTCAAGATTTTATCTAGAAAGTACTTAAGTAAAATACGTTAAAACAAGCGGATGGGATACAGCCAGCAATCCATCCATCCACAGGCACAGGTAAAGGTAGCTTTTGAGAAGAAAAGAAAGTTAAATGGGTCCCAATTTATCACCAGTGTTAATGAATGTCCCTGGATTTAGAGAATTGGGAATTGTTAAATAGATTATATTAAAGATAGGGCAAGAAAAATTGTGTATAATCCTGATCTACTCCGAAGCTTTTTTTTAAAAGACATTTCTGAAACATTCTCATGAATGGAAGCCACTATGTCTCACATCCAGTAATACCTAATTAAAGCTAATGTTTTATATTTAGTCCTATTCTGCCATTCTTTATTTTAAAACTGAAAGTAAATTCACTCAGGTTTACCTTTTTTTGAAAGAATGCTCTTACCTATCTGCCTTTTTCTTCCTTCCACTTCACAACGAACATTTTAGTCCGGCCCCAAATATCCTCTCTCAGCAGCACTCCCAGAACCTCATTGGAGCAGTTTACAGTCAGTCCCATCTTACTAGTGACTTCCATTTTCTCTCCTGGTCCTTAAAGAGACAGAAGTTACTCTTCTTAGAAGTAACTTTTCTAAATGAATCAAGCTGGTATTACATAGAAATTTAGGGATTTGTGTGTGTGATAGAATATAAATATATTCATTTCCACAGTTCTACTTCTCTTTCTAAAAATATAATTGTCTCCTTCCCTTTAGATAAATCTTGCAAAAATACATTTTAGTGTAAGACTGTCTTTCTACCTGTACTACTTTGCTTGACATAAACTACAATTTCCTCAATATGTTCCATTCCTATTTCAAAGCATTAAAGATAAAGATTAGGCTTCATAAATAAATGTATTACTATATAAGATTTTTTTTATCCTTGAGAGACAATATAATAAGAATGACAAGATGGAAAATATTTCTTGGTAGAGTTTTATGAAGTTTACAATCTTCCTCTTCTTTGGCTATAGTTGCAAATCTTGTCCCACATTTACTGCCTCCACACCCTCCCCTGTATTTAATGACCATTTACATGGGTTACCTAATATAACCAAAGAATCATCACTGTTGTGACTTAAAATAGCAGGGTTACCTAATTCAGAATCCTAAATGCAGAAAAACGTGATTTGCTAAGGCCCTGCTAGAGGAAATAGTCATCATTTTAAAACTTCAGCTAGGTTTATTTTATAAAGTGTGATTACTGGAAAATTCTTAGGTTTTTGTGGCTTTTTCTATGACCTTAAGACATGGATGAAAGTATTTGGTTGTCAGTATACATGTATAGATGTGGGAGAAAAAGCTGTAGGATCCATTTTTTTAACCAAGAGAGACACGCATGATACATTCTTTAAAAAATCCTTCCTTCAGTTTCCACTGCCACTAGCCTAGTTCAGACCGTCCATGACTCACATCTAGATTATTACAAGAGAACTTAGTTGGTCTCCTAGATTAGGTCAAACTGTTATATCCTTAGAATTTTCTTCTGTGATTTGTAGGTTTTCAATAATTGTTTTGGGCTCTGATAGCTCTTGATAAATAGTTCTCATGTCATTTATCATATTTTGTTGTAGATTGAGTGTATATCAGATCCCTCTTCATTCCTCCATCTGGCCTTCCTCTGCTGACCTTGTAGAAGACCATGGACTTCTGCTTGGATAAAAAGACTACTACTAATATTTATCATTATTGAACACTAGTTCTGGACCAGGCACATTCATCCATTTTTATATACCTTTCTCTGTTCATTCCATATAACATTTCTCTTTTCTTTATTTACACTCATATTTAGCTTTATGTAACTTAACACTTGATTATAAATTGCAGATATAGTTTATAATCAAAGAGGGGCATGGTAAGGATAGTTTGACTAAAGGGAAGATTAGAAAAATGTAACTAAAGGGAAATGATACTGCATATGCTGTATTTAGGATTTGATATCATGTCCTCAAAATTTAGTATTCAGGTAGTTTACAATAGAAAAACAATTACCTTGCTCATCCCCAATAATTAATCATGTGGTTACAAAATATGTTTCTCCAAAAATGATGAAGTAATACATGAAGTAATGTATAACTGCTTTTGAATTTCAATTTAATTGAGTATTAATTAAAAACCCCTCTTTTTGAAATGCTGTAAACTGGTTATATTTAAAAATCCAACTGAGAAAAAGACCAAAGGTGCTACAGACCTGAATAGGGAGCCAGTCTGACCCAAGCAAAGGAGTCAGAGAAGTGGGTCTCACTCACAGTCTGAAAACTGCACCAGCCCTGAGAAGTCAGTTGGAAGGAGGGGGTTGGGATGAGACTTTGAAGACAATCCATCTTGGGCTCTGCCATTTAGTAGATGTACGCTACTTAATCTCACTAAGAATCTATTTCCTTAGCTGTAGAATGAAGGGAGATTCTTACCCCATGGGGATGTTGTGAGAATTAAATGAAAAAAAAAAAGGCCATGTAGTGCATTACAGATGTAATGGGCATGAAGGTAGTCTGCCTGGGTATGCATCGTTATTATACCATTGAACACTTCTGTGACCATGGACACGTTAACATCTGTCTGCTCTGGTTTCATCATCATTAACTTGGATGATAATTGTCCTTACTCCATGAGTTGTGTAGGGACTAAATGAGGTAACATAGAAAACACTTTTAAAAATTCATACACCAAGAAGAGGATTAAAGATGGCGGCATCAGAGGTGAGACAGAAACCTCCTCCAAAAACCACATATAATATGAAAATATAGCATATACATCAAATCCTGAAAGAGCAACAGGAAAGAAAGCTGCGGCAGACTGTCTACATCTGGGGAATGAACAGACCTCAAGGAAAAGGGTAATGTACCAAAGCNTAAATAGCAGAGCACTGAGAACTGAAACCTGAGACTGGTGAGTAAGAGAGACTAAAACAACTTTACATGAGTGCAAGTCTTTGGGTCCAGATGCGATCCACAACTTATTGCTAAAGCAGTTTTAGCAAGTGTATTCACAAAGCTGACTCCTATAATCTTGGAAAAAGAGCTCAAAGATAGAGAAATAATCATGGCCTGGAGAAGGTCAGAGTTGCTTTAAGTTTTGTGGGCTGGAGGAGTGGGGAAGCAGGTTTCAGAAATGACAGACATATAAACCAAAAATTAATAATTCTCAGTCAAATCTAAGACTAGTTTATGAAAGCAAACAATTTTTGAATACACAGAGAAGAATATAATGATCACTACATGTCAGGATAAATTCAAACAGAACAAAGACTGCCAATAATGGGTTTACTTCTTGGAAAAGAATGACTATTAGACTTCCTAATCACTCACAGTTATTGAGCTCTTAATTATTTGTCAGACACTGTTCTGAGCACTTTATATGTATTATCTCATTTAATACCTACAACACAATTTTTTTTTTAATAGTTCACAAAACAGGCTTAGAGATTAAAGTACTTGCTCAAGATCACACAATTAGCAGAGCCATAGAGTATTCTGGCCAAAATAGTATTCAAGATGGTTTTCCATGCTATATTTGTAAACATGTTGCTTGAGTCTGAGTTGGATGTTAATGTAGTTGGGTAAGTTTGCTGCTCTATGCTTAGATGAGAGAAACCTTTAGGGGGGTGCCTTGGAACTCTGCCCTTGGCCCTAAATTGTTTATTTTATAAGGTAATAAAGACATGGAAGACATGCTTATAGAATTGTCAGATTGTATAATACAGGACAAATTAACTAAAATTAAAGTGAAATTAACAAGCATGAGTTTAAATCTTCGCATTTAGTTTCAAAAAGTTAAGTGTGCAATATAGAAATGGAGCATTACTGACTTAGATGCCATTTATAAGAGGAGTATCAACCCAAAAGTTTAATAGGAGCTAGTTAGCCTACACTACTACTATACTCACTTCTATAGGCCATGTTTTTAACTGCCATATTGATTTAATAACAACAGCATGCATCCAGATAAATGTGAAAACAATGTCATGTGACAAATACAACCTTAACAAAACCAACAGAATGATGGTCTTCAAATATTTGGATAGGTGTTCAGAAAATAACTGGTTTTACTCAGTATCATTACAGAGGATAGAAGTAAAATAAAGATAATAGCATTACTTACCTCAGGATGTGAGGCCTGAGCTACTGCATGTGAAGTGCCCACAATGCCTGGCTTACAGTGAGTGCTTGGTAAGTTTTAGCAATTTTCATAGGAATCAGAGAAGGAATTAACAACTAAGCTTCTAATTTTATGATAAACACTGCAGTTTTTTTGAGATAAAAGACTTCTTTTAATTCTTGCAACAACATTATGAGATTTGTTCAGCTCTATTTTATAGAAAAGGAACCAGAGTTTCAGAGATGTTGCTGCTTGCCACAACTACACACTTAATAAGGAATGGAACTGGGACTCAAACAAGTTTCCCTGACTCCAAAGCCCATGTTCTTTCTACTATTTCATCCAACCTCCAACATCCATCCCATCAATAGAAAACATTGTCTCCTGAGGCTATGAGCTTCTTAACATACCTGACTTGGGTAGTTTCAAAAAGTTGAACTGTCATAAAAAAAAATGCAGTAAAATACCTATGGATAAGACTGCATGCAGGTTAAATACTTCAAAATATAAGATACTGCTGGGACATATATTTTTGATATATGTCTACCCACTAACTTTTCAGTTTAGTACACCAATATTTAGTAAGATTGTTAATATTAGCCAAATAACAATTAATTGTCTAATAATTCAATCAACTAATTTATCAGAACTATTGATAATACACTATATAAATATCACACTTTTGTATAAAACACATTTTTTAAAGTTTCAGCATGAACACAAATAGAAGACACTAAGTGAGCTGTCATATTAGCTCTGCCCACTCTTCCCATCTGTTTTCCCTCTCCTCCTTTTATGGAACTCTGATTTATCCACTAAGATATAACAAGAAGTAAGGTGCAAAATATTAAGACTAAATATCAAAGCATCTAATAACTCTTTCTCTTTATATATTAATTCGAAACTGAGACAATACTACATCTTACTAACTTATAAAATATATATGAGCTATGAGTTGGCAAGCATTTCTAATACGTTTACTTGGAACATCTCAAATATTCTTTTGGGAGTTACCTGTCACAGATACCATTCAAATGAGCTTATATAATCTGTCGCCATTGTTGAATAGAATCAAAAGATCGGCTATTAAGGGAATCTTGAGCCCAACCTGCCCTATTATTACAGCCAAGGTAAAACAAAGACCCTGGAGGTTAGGCGACTTAATTGAGGGCTACTTTGTGTTAACATCACAAGTTGATCTACTTTTCTCTCACCCTTCCACATCTTCCTGCTATGCATACATTATCTCACATCTTAGCAAACCCTCTAATCAGAAGTTCTAATAGCAGCATTTTCATTCAACAAATATTTACTGATTGCCTATTTGCCAGACTGTATAAGAGACACTGGGATTATACAGCAGTGACCAAAACAAATACTGCTCTCTAAGCTTACAGTGTGATGTGGGACACACACATTAAACAAATTCACACAGTTCGCAAGGTAATTACAAAATATGAAAAGTGGTATCAGAGAGTATGTTATGGGGACCTTATTTCAGCTGGGGTCTCAGGCAAGGTGCCTTTAAGCAAGTGGTATTTAAGCTAAGACCTAAGAGAGTAAGTAGGAGTCAAGGAAACAGACAAGAAGAGAGAATTTCAGGAAGACAAAACAAATTCAGTTATTAAATACTTCAAAAGGGAACTTATTATTTAGTATAGCGAGTGTCCTTTTTGTACTCAATAAAGGATAAAGTGAAGAGGTAAAATGCTTTTCCTATTTAGAACAGCATGATATTTACCATGACTCCCTACCAGTAATGGGGTCTCCTTGGTTCAATTTAGTTTTGTATGCTAGGAATGCTAATAAATGGAGGGTCTTTTTTTTTTGGTCTTGTTCAGACGTACATGTATTCTGTTGGCCTGTAAAAAAGCATGTGGCCTTTTTCAATGCAATATTAACCAGTGTCCTAAGGTCATTGTCCATGTTTAACTTGATACAGGCTTGAAATTGCTTAATAATCCTAGTGTTGCTTTTATATTGTATATTGTATAAAAAATTCAAATAACTTTGTTGTTGGTTTCTAAAAATCACAGTTTGTAGCAATCTTGCATCTGCTCATGTATCTTTTAAAACATAGCTATTACTTTAGATATATTTCATCCTAACAGCTCCATATTCAACTAAATTGTTGCTGGTATAATTCTGCTCATCTATCTGCACAGTGGTATTTGAATCTCAGTCCTTCCACTCTGGGAGAGAGAGCACACCATGTCTGCTCTCTGTTCAGGCTCTTGTAAGTTTATCCCATAATAAGATTATAGATTGCCAGTCTGGCAATGCTGCATGAATCTATGCTAGGCTAGATGTATCTTCCTCACTCTTTTTGCACCAGTGGTATCTGAGAGATCTGACTGGCTAATAGCCAATGAGCCATTTCTGCACCATAAACTAACCACACAAATGGAGAAACGTTTTTCTATACTGAAATTAAAACATCTTCTAAGTACAACATCTCCAGTTTTTTCACTAACAAAATAATTGCTCCAAAGAGGCCATTATACAAGTTCAATATGAATTATGTATTTGGAGAGACTCAAAGTACTAAAGATAGTAACTCAGCATTAAAGACAGTGAATCACAAGCATGATTAGTATTAAATTAAAATTTTTTACTAGCAAAAAATTTCCCCATCTATCAAATTGTTAGTTTCTTTTAAAATATGAGCAACTAACTCCAATGTTAATATTTTCATCGTTTACAGTGTCTTAAAAAAATGAGAAATGTCCCTTAAGAAATGTGCATTTAAATGACCACCTTTTCCTACATAAGGCTTATTCAGTGCTTATGTAATTTAAAAAGTTTAATATCCAAAATCTTAAGTTTTTTTCTGCATGTGGCAGTGTTTAAATCAAAAACAATCCACTAAAAGAAATTTCTAAAGCATCCGATGAAATATTTTATATCTCAAAAGCCTCACTACCATTTGAGATGGTTAAAAAAAAGTTTCAAGATATGAACTGGTCAACATTTTGGAATCTGAGTCATCCTAAAAAGTGAAATGTTATATAACAAACTATAGAACCTAGGATGGAACCTGGCTTGTGAAACACACCCATCGGATCAGGCCTACTACATCAATATTACACACTGAAGCAAAACTTGTAACATAAAGGCTTCTGTGACGTTTTAAATACCTATATTAAAACTTGTAACTTCTTTTTGGCTGAATTTCCATGCTTGCTTTCAATCCAGACCCCAACAGGGGAGGAGGAAAAGTTTTTTTTGTAAAATAACGCTGGCTAGACCTTGGTGGGGGAACTCAACAACAAATTCATAGGGCTTCCCAGCCCTCCGTGCATTAGAAGTTGAAAACCAGATGTGGTCTCAGCAAAATCATAGTCTTTAAAGACGTTAAGAAGTGCAGCATTAAGTACAAAGCAGAAACAGTGTGAGAGTAATACAATAACATTTTCCAGGGTACACATTAAGGCATTTTAAAAGTTTTTGTGGATATAGCTCATCAAGACTGTGTCGTACAATATACTAGTTGAGGGTATGACTATTCTTCCTAATCAAAGATGACACCGATAGTCTTATTTCCTGTGGGGATGGGTGTGGTTGAATAGTTACGTCCAAGCCATCAATCGGTGCATGGTAAGTCCGCAGGTCTTACACATGCTTGTGGGTTAATTTACATCGGTGCCTGCGGATGGCAGGCCTATGTTCTGACTGCGACGATTTCAAATAAAATATCCAACAGGCAATTGAATAGTATGTGCTTATTTTTATTGCTCCAAGAAACACTCTTTGGTGTTTCTCTTAAGGAAAACCTCCTGCGAATGAAAACAACAGGGTGCAATGTTGCAACCTGCAAAACAGTGGTCCGGCAACCCTGGGGTGGGGGCTTACCTTCTCTAAGTACCATATACTCACTCCTCTGAGACGGGTACAATACCAAGTGATAGGAAAAAAAACCCGGCTTATCCAAAATTCAGCCGCGTGAGCACCGCCTGTTGTCGTCGAGAGCTAGTTTGGGGCACCGCAAACAGACCGCGACCGGAGGGCCGAGGCGGGGGTCGCCCACACAGCGCGAATCCAAGTTGGCCTCCGCGCCCACGCCGGAACTGGCCCCATCTACTGCCTCCCCGGCGTCCCGGCCCGCCGCGGCGCCCACCGCCGCTCCCGCCGCCGCGCGCCCGGCCAACTTCCCACCCAGCCCTGGCGGTCGCAGCCCAGCCCCGATCGGAGTCCGGGTCCCGCTGCCGCGTGCGGGCGGGTGGGGGAGGGGCCGTCGCCTCCGCCTCACCCGACGTGCCGCGAGAACAAAGCGACGGCCGCGGCGACGCTAACTTTTTCGGTGTCTGTTCTGCGCCTCCTGAGGCGACTACTTACAGAGGAGAGGTCCGCTGGTCGTGAGAAAGTCCGCGCCAGCCAGCGTCTGAGTCCAGGACGCAGCGCCAGCGAGGCTTCACGCACTTCGCCGGATCCCGCCCGCCGCTGGCGCCCCTTCCTCCCTCTCTCCCTCCTCCAGGTCCCGTCCTGAGGCCCGGGGGCGGGGGGCCGGGGCGTGCGGGGCGGGGGTGCGCGGCCTGCGCGGGGCCTGCCGGGAGCTGTAGTTTCCGCGCGGGCCCGACCCGGTGGTAGCGGCGCTGGGATGTCCTCACCGGTTTTTGGTTGAGCAGAGGCAGCATGAGCTCTGGGGCTCTCGGGCTCTCTCTGCAGCCTCCGAGGCCCCGGCGTGAGCGCGGGAGAGCGGCGTGTAACAGTGTACTAGCTAGTTACTCGCAGTACTTGATACCCATCGTTGCTACTTAACTGCCTTTTTCTCTTTGTCCACTCTGAAGGAGGCGCTGGTAGCAAGGAAGCAAGAGGTGACAGCTTGAACCGGGGACTTGTAAAGGACCCACAGCAGAGAGCGGTTTTCACCCTGAGGTATCTTCTACCTGCTCCCCACATTTTCCTCCTTCGCGCGTGCCCTCCAGGTGGCTCTGGGGCACCGCAGCCGCGGGCTTTCCACACCTAGGCAGATATCTCCAAAGCCTTTCCTTAAAGCTGAGCAAACTAAAGTGGCTACTTGCAATGCGTTTTGTGTTTCCTATTTGTCCCTCATTAAAGTCGGGGGTGTCCCCTACCATCAAAGTGAAATGTAGGCAAGAATCACGTACCCTAGACTTCCACATGCACGGAAAAGAGGGTAACAGTGCCGAGGGAGTGGTCGGGGGTGGGAGTCGGAATGAGGATCTCGAGAGAACACACATTATGTGTTAAATTATAAATGTTTTGTGTCAGAGAAACGTCTGAGCAGCAGACTGCTCAGCCACTGTCCAGGAGCGACCTAGTTCTCCTTACGTCAAGATTTTATCTAGAAAGTACTTAAGTAAAATACGTTAAAACAAGCGGATGGGATACAGCCAGCAATCCATCCATCCACAGGCACAGGTAAAGGTAGCTTTTGAGAAGAAAAGAAAGTTAAATGGGTCCCAATTTATCACCAGTGTTAATGAATGTCCCTGGATTTAGAGAATTGGGAATTGTTAAATAGATTATATTAAAGATAGGGCAAGAAAAATTGTGTATAATCCTGATCTACTCCGAAGCTTTTTTTTAAAAGACATTTCTGAAACATTCTCATGAATGGAAGCCACTATGTCTCACATCCAGTAATACCTAATTAAAGCTAATGTTTTATATTTAGTCCTATTCTGCCATTCTTTATTTTAAAACTGAAAGTAAATTCACTCAGGTTTACCTTTTTTTGAAAGAATGCTCTTACCTATCTGCCTTTTTCTTCCTTCCACTTCACAACGAACATTTTAGTCCGGCCCCAAATATCCTCTCTCAGCAGCACTCCCAGAACCTCATTGGAGCAGTTTACAGTCAGTCCCATCTTACTAGTGACTTCCATTTTCTCTCCTGGTCCTTAAAGAGACAGAAGTTACTCTTCTTAGAAGTAACTTTTCTAAATGAATCAAGCTGGTATTACATAGAAATTTAGGGATTTGTGTGTGTGATAGAATATAAATATATTCATTTCCACAGTTCTACTTCTCTTTCTAAAAATATAATTGTCTCCTTCCCTTTAGATAAATCTTGCAAAAATACATTTTAGTGTAAGACTGTCTTTCTACCTGTACTACTTTGCTTGACATAAACTACAATTTCCTCAATATGTTCCATTCCTATTTCAAAGCATTAAAGATAAAGATTAGGCTTCATAAATAAATGTATTACTATATAAGATTTTTTTTATCCTTGAGAGACAATATAATAAGAATGACAAGATGGAAAATATTTCTTGGTAGAGTTTTATGAAGTTTACAATCTTCCTCTTCTTTGGCTATAGTTGCAAATCTTGTCCCACATTTACTGCCTCCACACCCTCCCCTGTATTTAATGACCATTTACATGGGTTACCTAATATAACCAAAGAATCATCACTGTTGTGACTTAAAATAGCAGGGTTACCTAATTCAGAATCCTAAATGCAGAAAAACGTGATTTGCTAAGGCCCTGCTAGAGGAAATAGTCATCATTTTAAAACTTCAGCTAGGTTTATTTTATAAAGTGTGATTACTGGAAAATTCTTAGGTTTTTGTGGCTTTTTCTATGACCTTAAGACATGGATGAAAGTATTTGGTTGTCAGTATACATGTATAGATGTGGGAGAAAAAGCTGTAGGATCCATTTTTTTAACCAAGAGAGACACGCATGATACATTCTTTAAAAAATCCTTCCTTCAGTTTCCACTGCCACTAGCCTAGTTCAGACCGTCCATGACTCACATCTAGATTATTACAAGAGAACTTAGTTGGTCTCCTAGATTAGGTCAAACTGTTATATCCTTAGAATTTTCTTCTGTGATTTGTAGGTTTTCAATAATTGTTTTGGGCTCTGATAGCTCTTGATAAATAGTTCTCATGTCATTTATCATATTTTGTTGTAGATTGAGTGTATATCAGATCCCTCTTCATTCCTCCATCTGGCCTTCCTCTGCTGACCTTGTAGAAGACCATGGACTTCTGCTTGGATAAAAAGACTACTACTAATATTTATCATTATTGAACACTAGTTCTGGACCAGGCACATTCATCCATTTTTATATACCTTTCTCTGTTCATTCCATATAACATTTCTCTTTTCTTTATTTACACTCATATTTAGCTTTATGTAACTTAACACTTGATTATAAATTGCAGATATAGTTTATAATCAAAGAGGGGCATGGTAAGGATAGTTTGACTAAAGGGAAGATTAGAAAAATGTAACTAAAGGGAAATGATACTGCATATGCTGTATTTAGGATTTGATATCATGTCCTCAAAATTTAGTATTCAGGTAGTTTACAATAGAAAAACAATTACCTTGCTCATCCCCAATAATTAATCATGTGGTTACAAAATATGTTTCTCCAAAAATGATGAAGTAATACATGAAGTAATGTATAACTGCTTTTGAATTTCAATTTAATTGAGTATTAATTAAAAACCCCTCTTTTTGAAATGCTGTAAACTGGTTATATTTAAAAATCCAACTGAGAAAAAGACCAAAGGTGCTACAGACCTGAATAGGGAGCCAGTCTGACCCAAGCAAAGGAGTCAGAGAAGTGGGTCTCACTCACAGTCTGAAAACTGCACCAGCCCTGAGAAGTCAGTTGGAAGGAGGGGGTTGGGATGAGACTTTGAAGACAATCCATCTTGGGCTCTGCCATTTAGTAGATGTACGCTACTTAATCTCACTAAGAATCTATTTCCTTAGCTGTAGAATGAAGGGAGATTCTTACCCCATGGGGATGTTGTGAGAATTAAATGAAAAAAAAAAAGGCCATGTAGTGCATTACAGATGTAATGGGCATGAAGGTAGTCTGCCTGGGTATGCATCGTTATTATACCATTGAACACTTCTGTGACCATGGACACGTTAACATCTGTCTGCTCTGGTTTCATCATCATTAACTTGGATGATAATTGTCCTTACTCCATGAGTTGTGTAGGGACTAAATGAGGTAACATAGAAAACACTTTTAAAAATTCATACACCAAGAAGAGGATTAAAGATGGCGGCATCAGAGGTGAGACAGAAACCTCCTCCAAAAACCACATATAATATGAAAATATAGCATATACATCAAATCCTGAAAGAGCAACAGGAAAGAAAGCTGCGGCAGACTGTCTACATCTGGGGAATGAACAGACCTCAAGGAAAAGGGTAATGTACCAAAGCCATGATCCGGAGGGACTCAAGCCATTCCCCAACTCCAGCTCACTGGAAGGAGGAAGAGAAAGACAGTAGGGAAGGGGTGGAGGACTAGGACTGCTGAACACCCAGCCCTGGAGAACTGCTCTGGGAGCAGGAACCTACATTACATGGCACTCTGGAGCTTAATGGGGTTGAAAAGCTAAGACAGGTGGAATACTTGGAGAGACTGACATTTAAGCCACTTGTGAAAAACAGGGATCCACATCCAGCCACTCTGGGAAAAAAGAAAGGTGGGCAGTCTGAGAGACTTCCTAACAGTGAGAAGGCTGGTAAAGGGGCAAGGATTGCACAGAGCTTGCTGCTCAGGAGAAAGGACAGGTGGATAAAATTGTCTGGGCACACTGCCCAGCAGATTGGGAAGTTTCAGGAGCTTCAGGTGCTCCATAATCCAGTTAGCTATGCAGCTCTGAGGCCCCCTCCCAACCTGGGAGTGATACCCAGCCTGCTGTGCCTTCCTGCTGGGAGGCACCAGCTTTCAAAACAGCTGCCCACGCTATTGCGCCAGACCTGCCAGAGTGCAGCCCTGCCTATGGCAGCTAACAGTGCAAAGCATAGAGATCCCTGTATGCTCAGCCTGCTGGCACTGGCAGTGGAGACAGGGACTGCAGCCAGAAGGCAGGAAAGACCTCTTTCCTCCCTACAGGCATCAATGCCACTCCCCTACAGCCCCCACCATCGCTCCAGGGGCTGAACAGCTCCAGAGAGTAGAGCTTCTGGGCACTAGAGGGCACCACCTATGAATATGAAATATCAAAGGAACCTGGTTCAAACCAAAATGCCACAAACACAGGAAAGAGGGACAAGTGAAACTGAACTCATCAATCTTCCTGAAAAAGATTTCAAAATAAAAATCATAAACATGCTCATGGAGCTACAGAAAAATATTCAAGAACTCAGGGAGGAATTCAGAAATGAGATACAAATGCTCAATAATACAGTATCTGAAATGAAACATGCAATGGAGGGATTTAAAAGCAGATTTGATGAAGTAGAGGAGATGGTAAATGAAATAGAAATTAGAGAACAGGAATACAAAGAAGCTGAGGCATAGAGAGAAAAAAGGATCTCCAGGAATGAAAGAATATTGAGAGAACTGTGTGACGAATCCAAACGGAAAAATATTTGCATTATAGGGGTGCCAGAAAAGAAGAGAGAGAAAAAGGGATATAAAGTGTTTTTGAGGTGGTAATTGCTGAAAACTTCCCCCATCTGGGGAAGGAGACAGTTACACAGGCCATGGAGGTACACACCTCCCAACACAAGGGAACCAACGAAGACAGCACCAAAACATAAAATAATTAAAATGGCAAAGATCAAAGATAAGGGCAAACTATTAGAAGCAGCCAGAGAAAGAAAAAAAGATCACATACAAAGGAAAACCCATCAGGCTATCAGACTTCTCAACAGAAACCTTACAGGCCAGAAGGGAGTGGCATGATATAGTTAATGCAATGAAGCAGAAGGGCCTCAAAGCAAGAATACCCTACTCAGCAAGATTATCATTTAAATTTGAAGGCGGGATTAAACAATTTCCAGATAAGCAAAAGCTGAGAGAATTTACCTCTCACAAACTATCTCTACAGTGTATTTTAGAGGCATAGTTATAGATGGAAGTATTCCTAAGGCTAATTAGCTATCACCAGAAGAAATAAAACCATAGTAAAGAAAGTAGACTAATTAATTAATAAACATATGCAAAATCAAATCAACTACCCCCTAAGTCATTCAAGGGATAGACAAAGAGTACAGAATATGATATCTACTGTATAAAGACTGGAGGAGGAAAAAAAAAAAGAACCTTTAGGTTGTGTTTGCAATTGCATACTAGGTGAGTTAAATTAGACTGTAAGATATAAAGAAGTTACCCTTGAACCTTTGGTAACCACGAATATGAAGCCTGCAATGGCAATAAGTACACACCTATCAATAATCACCCTAAATGTAAATGGTCTGAATTCACCAATCAAAAGACATAGAGTCACTGCATGGATAAAAAAACAAGACCCATTTATATGCTGCCTATAAGAGACTCACTTTAAGCCCAAAGACATACACAGACTAAAAGTGAAAGGATGGAGAAAGATACTTCATGCAACTAACAGGGAGAAAACAGTAGTTGCAGTACTAGTATCAGGCAAAATATACTTCAAAACAAAGGAAGTAACAAGAGACAAAGAAGGACACTACATAATGATAAAAACATCAGTCCAAAAAGAGGATATATGTAACCATTATAAATATCTATGTACCCAACACAGGAGCACCTACATATGTGAAACAAATACTAACAGAATTAAAGGGGGAAATAGAAAGCAATGCATTCATTTTAGGAGACTTCAACACACCACTCACTCCAAAGGACAGATCAACCAGACAGAAAATAAGTAAGGACACAGAGGCACTGAACAACACATTAGAATAGATGGACCTAACAGACATCTACAGAACACTCAACCCAAAAGCAGCAGGATACACATCCTTCTCAAGTGCACATGGAACATTTTCAAGAATAGATCATATACTAGGCCACAAAAAGAGCCTCAGTAAATTCAAAAAGATTGAAATTGTATCAATCAGCTTGTCAGAACACAAAGGGATGAAACTAGAAGTAAACTATCTAAAGAAAACAAGAAAGCCCACAAACACACAGAAGCTTAACAACGCTCCTGAATAATCAATGGATCAATGACCAAATTAAAATAGAGATCAAGCAATATAGGGAGACAAATGACAATATCTCAACAGCACAAAATCTGTGGAACACAGTGAAGGCCATGCTAAGAGGGAAGTATATTGTAATATAGGCTTAACTCAGGAAAGTACTTAATGAAACTGGAAAAAGAAGAACAAATGAGGCTCAAGGTCAGTAGAAGGAGGTACATAATTAAGACAAGAGCATAAATAAATAAAATCAAGAAGAATAAAACAATAGAAAGGATCAATGAAAGCAGGAGCTGGTTCTTCAAGAAAAGAAACAAAATAGATAAACCCCTAGCCAGACTTATCAAGAAAAAAAGAGAGTCTAGACATATAAACAGAATCAGAAATTAGAAAGGAAAAATCACTACCAACACCACAGAAATACAAAGAATTATTAGAGACTACTATGAAAAATTATATGCTAATCTGGATAACCTAGAAGAAATGGACAACTTTCTAGAAAAACACAACCTTCCAAGGCTGATCCAGGAAGAAACAGAAAATCTGAACAGACCAATTACTAGCAACAAAATTGAATTGGTGATCAAAAAACTGTCTAAGAACAAAACTTCCAAACCAGATGGCTTCACCACTAAATTTTATCATATATTTAGTAAAGACCTAATACCCATCCTCCTTAAAGCTTCCCAACAAGTAGAAGAGGAAGAAATACTTCCAGACTCATTCTATGAGGCCAGCGTCACTCTAATACCAAAACCAGGCAAGACACCACAAAAAAAGAAAATTACAGACCAATATCTCTGATGAACATAGATGCAAAAATACCTAACAAAATGTTAGCAAATCGAATTTAAAAATATATCAAAAAGATCATCCATCATGATCAAGAAGAGTTTATTCCAGGGTTGTAAGGATGATACAATATTTAAAAAATCCTACAATATCATCCACCATATCAACAAAAAGGACAAAAACCACCATCTCCATAGATACTGAAAAAGCATTTGACAAAATTCAACATCCATTCATGATAAAAACTCAACAAAATGGGTATAGAAGGCAAGTACCTCAACATAATAAAGATCATATATGACAAACCCACAGCCAACATCATACTTAACAACGAGAAGCTGAAAGCTTTTCCTCTAAGATCAGGAACAGGAGAAGGATGCCCACTCTCCCCGCTTTAAATCAACATAGTTTTGGAGGTCCTAGCCATGGCAATTAGACAACACAAAGAAATAAAAGGCATCCAGATTGGTAAGGAAGAAGCCAAACTGTCACTGTTTGCAGATGACATGATATTGTACATAGAAATCCTAAAGAATCCACCCCAAAACTACTAGAACTAATAACTGAATTCAGCCAAGTTGCAGGATACAAAATCAATACCCAGAAATCTGTTGCATTCTTATATATTTATGATGAACTAGCAGAAAGATAAATCAAGAAAACATGTTCATTCACAATTGCATCAAAAGGAATAAAATACCTAGTAATAAACCTAACCAAGGAGGTGAAAGACCTATACCTTGAAAACTATAATACACTTATGAG